AGTCCTCGTGTGTAGATTTCTCCCAACTAACACATTTTTGTATGCACTTTTCACTAATTGCATACCTTTGCAAAGCCGTTCTGCCATAATAAGAACACAATTTTGCATGTTATTTTCGCTAATTTAGGCATGCTTTATCCTAGTCTTATGTGTTTTTCTGTACTTTACTTTGTATTGTGAGTTCGCATACTGCTTTGGAAGGTATGAATTACGTAGATTTGAATGTGAACTGAATCAATTCCCCCCACCAACCACCTTGTTCCTGTTCAGAAGCGAGAGGCCTCCCTGCTCCCCAGCAACTCCTTTGAACCGGACCCATCTGTCTGGGAAAAACCTGGTGAGGGTGGAAAGTCCAATGACTGGACATGAGCCAGCAGGACGGAATGAATCCTGAGTCACCAAGACACCAACCTGACCTTCTCCTGCCTTCGCTTTCCATTTTTCACCCTTCCAAATCACTTGCTTTCTGCAGGACCTTGCTCCGTTCTCAAAGGCGAGGGAAAGAGCACAAGAAGCAGCTTTGGAAAACAAGGCTAAGGAAGGAACCTCTGCCTCTCCTGATCTAGTTGTACTCCAGCTCCCATCAGCCTTAGCCAACACGGCCATGGTTTGGGGTTGATGGGAGTTGTAGTCCAGCAACATCTTAGAGAGTAGCAGGTTCCCCACTCCTGACCTGAGTGGATGGATCTGCCTTGGCAGCTGTTAAATCATATTTACTTGGAAAACAGATGGGAAAACCTGTGTCTCACTGTGGAGCCTTCACAATAGCCCTATTTTCCATGAATTTACCTAATTCATTTTGAAAGCCATCTAGGTTGGTGGCCCCCATTGCCTGCTGCAGGAGTGAGTTCCATAAAAACATAGAATTGTAGGGTTGGAAGGGACCCCGTGGGATTCATCTAGTCCAACCCCCAGCAATGTAGGAATCTTTCTCCCCAGTGTGGGGCTCAAACCCACGACCCTGATATTAAGAGTCCCACAGTCTGCAAAGATGCCCTTCCTTTTATCTGTCCCGAACTTCGGCAAACATTTGGCGTCATTGGACACCCCTTGAGTATTAGGAGAGATGGCCTTTTGGTTGGACTCAGTCTGGCCCTTATGTTTCCCTCCCCTTATGGTCCTTGATTTATCGGCTACTTTTAAAATGAGGCTGCATTTTAAATTGCATTTTAACCTGTATTTTAAATTGGTTCCCCTCCCTCCCTTATGTTTTTACTGTGATTTTATTGGTGTTAGCTGCCCTGAGCCTGGCTCTGGCCGGCGGAGGGTGGGGGTATAAGTAAACATCTATTATTATTATTATTATTATTATTATTATTATTATTATTATTATTATTTTGTACACCTCTGTCATGTCCCGCTCTTCACACCCTTTTCTCCAAACTAAAAAGTCCCAGACGCTGCAAATTTTCTCCCATATGGAAAACTCTTCATTCCTACTCTGCTTTTCAAATTCTACAGCATCCTTCTGAGGTGAGGAGACCAGAAGGGTACACAGTATTCCAAACACAGCTAGATAAAACCGACAGATAGAAGCCAGAGGCAACAATATGAGAGGAGAATATAGTGGGTCTCTCCAATATGTATTTCACTTTATACAATACAGCGAATTAAACATGGCTTGGGGCTGTGGAAGCAGAGAGCAGCGGGCTGGAACCAGACAGAAGTACAAAATGGGTGGGAAACCTCGGAGAAGATTTATAATTATCCAGCTGGAGGGAGCTCATTGCAATATTTCCTTTCAGGATTATCTTTGCCAGTTATGAAGTTCCTAACTTTCCAGTAGACATGGCAGGACTTACATTAAATTTGCAGCCGATGTTTGCCGTTTAGTGGTCCTCTCCAAGTACAGATGTGTTTGGAGCAATAAGCAAGAATGTTATCTATTTTTAAAAGAAGGAATGGAGATGAACGCTGGAAGGAAGAGTCAAATTACATGTGATGAGCAGTTCCCGATTCCTTCCACTATTTTTTTAAAAATGAAAAGCAGTCAATGGGAGGCTAAACTAGAGAGAGGAGACTCGGGTGTCTGGAGGGCTGGCTTAACCGCTTTTATTTATTTACTATTCTCCTCCCTGCTCAAACTTGCCTCACCCCAGCTGTTTTTCTGCTCATAAGGGGAGAGAGGAGACGGATCCTGTATATTTTCCCCTACAGCAAAAGGGGAGAGGGAGGTGGGTTAAGCAGCCACTGTTTCCAACTTGGCCTGCTTTTTTCACAGCTGCTTTTCATTTAACAATATTACTTTTTAAAAATCCTAACTGTATCAGGAAGGAAAATCCATGCACTACACCACCATGTGTTGTTGTTTAGTCGTTTAGTAATGTCCAACTCTTCGTGACCCCATGGACCAGAGCACGCCAGGCACTCCTGTCTTCCACTGCCTCCTGCCACTTTGGTCAAACTCATGCTGGTAGCTTCGTCCCCTTCTCCTTGTGCCCTCCATCTTTCCCAACATCAAGGTCTTTTCCAGGGAGTCTTCTCTTCTCATGAGGTGGCCAAAGTATTGGAGCCTCAGCTTCAGGATCTGTCCTTCCAGTGAGCACTCAGGGCTGATTTCCTTCAGAATGGATCGGTTTGATCTTCTTGCAGTCCATGGGACTCTCAAGAGTCTCCTCCAGCACCATAATTCAAAAGCATCAATTCTTCAGCGATCAGCCTTCTTTATGGTCCAGCTCTCACTTCCCATACATCACTATTGGGGAAACCATAGCTTTAACTATACGGACCTTTGTCGGCAAGGTGATGTCTCTGCTTTTTAAGATGCTGTCTAGGTTTGTCATTGCTCTTCTCCCAAGAAGCAGGTGTCTTTTAATTTTGTGACTGCTGTCACTATCTGCGGTGATCCTGGACCCCCAGAAAGTAAAATCTCTCACTGCCTCCATTTCTTCCCCTTCTATTTGCCAGGAGGTGATGGGCCCAGTGGCCATGATCTTAATGTTTTTGATGTTGAGCTTCAGACCATATTTTGCGCTCTCCTCTTTCACCCTCATTAAAAGGTTCTTTAATTCCTCCTCACTTTCTGCCATCAAGGTTGTGTCATCTGCATATCTGAGGATGTTGATATTTCTTCACACCGTGTGTACTTTGAGCCAAATATTCAGCCTTTCTGAGTCATGGGTTGGAAGTTTCTGAGCAGAATACGGCCCTGGAAGGCCATGCCCCCCCCTCCACCCCTATGAAACTGCAGAGTGGCATGACTGCCAAATGTATTTTTTACATAGGGAAAGAAAAGTGCCAACATCACTACACTGTGGCACTGGGAGAGAAATATTGTGGGGTCTTCAAGTCATCCATCTTGCAGTGCTAATACCTGGATAAGAGGAGGCAGAAAACAGGGGCAGGCGTTGAGGTACAGAGGGATGAATGTGTCCTTTTCAGTTTCTCATTTTTCCAATCTTAAATTCAGTTCTCCACGTTTCCACAACAATGTGCAGGTTTTTGCTGTTGAATCCATGAAAATCCACCAGTTTTGCATGCAGTTCTTCTGATTACTATGCCCATTTTGGCAAGCATTCCCCTGCCCCTCAAAGCAATGTAACATCATATGCTATTTTCACTTACGTATACATCTCCATGCACTCTTTAAGTATATGCATTTTCGGACACGTCGTTCGGTTAAAGAATCACATTGCAAAATTCGGACAAGCATGGAATTCAAAGGATAGCTGTTTCAGTTCGTGTGTTGGTTCGAGAAGTTTCAAATTGGGCAATTTCTCATCGAAATGCAAGCAAAATCAAATTCCATCCCTGCCCTAGGCTGTGGTGGGGAATCCAAACGCACTGCTCACTTCATTGATAAGATGACACACAGGCAAAACACTGTAGCTCTTGTATAAGGGATTGAAATGAATATTGAAATGTAATTGGATTAAATAAGACGTTGGAAGCAGAATTAAATGAAATTATCTTACCTTGAAATCTAGGCACGCGGGGGGCTATCTAGAACATGTAATTGGCATTTTAATAGATTGATATTTGAATTGGAATGGTAATTTGGTATTGATATAATGTGGGCATGTATTGGATTTTGTAATTGAAAATTATTATTTTAAAAAAAAAACTTAAAGAAAGAAACATAAGATGATGCACAAGCTACCAGAAAGTCCTCCTGCAGAAGCCCCATCCAGCAACTTCAGCAACTGGACAAAAAATGCATTGGCAGTACATAGCCAAAAACTGGACAGGATCTACCCAGCTTTCACTCTCAACACGTCAGTTTGGTTCTCGAAACTTGCTTGCCCATTTTTACAATCAATCCAGAATGGGACTGAAGCTGGCAGGAAGGCTGAGGGGGAGAAATGGCAAGTCTGTCTTCAGAGGTGAGGCCCAGAGGGCTGGAGGCACTTCCAGAATCTGGACTGCTGCTATTTTTGGGGTGGGATACCAGCAATTAAAGTGGATCTGGTGCTCTTAACAAACCCACTTTAAAAAATAAAATCAGACTTTTTAGTAGCAAGGATAGTCAAATGCACTGGAAAACCGTGGTATATTGAGTACATGACGCAACGTGATAAAACAGATAGAAAGGATGCTGAAAAACTAGCTGACGTTGTCTAACCTGCTGCCAGATTGAGTTTGCTATCCGGACAGACAATGCTTTGTCAAACTAAATGCACCAGGTGTTTGCTTTCAAACCAGGTCAGCTGGAAGTAACCAGAGACTATCAAAGGGGCTGGAGGGAGGAAATTGCAAGGGCAGGTACCGGAGAGCTAAACGGCAGGGAAGGGAACGATCACAACCTTTGTGGTGTAAACTGCGTTCTGAATAGACAGTGCTGAGTTGAGCTCCCATCCATTGTGCTGTTTGCTGAGAGCTCATTTATCTGTTTCTTGCAGGCTTCTGAACCTGCTGGTGGCGGAGGCGGGAGTTATCTGCCTCCGAGGTGGCCACAGCGTCCTTTCAACAATACCTTTGCCACATTATACTTCAGGAGAAGCGGCGCCCCAACCCCACCCTGCTCCCAAGCTCATCCTAGCTGCCTGGGTTGCAAGGTTGCCCTGTGTGGGTATGAAATGGGGAGAATTACAGGCAGTGTTCGAGGCAAGTGCAGTTCACCTTCTGCAGCGCTCCGTGGAGGGCAGAGATGTTTGCCAGGGTGAAGATTGTGCCACGGGGCAGGCCTCTCCCGATGGCGATGCCCGAGACCTCTCCAGGTGAGAGCGCACGATCCCATATGGCAAGGCCGGCCAGGTAGCCCACAAAAGACTCCGAGGGTTCGAACCCACCACCCATTGTGTCTTGTTCCTGACCCAGTACAAGAGACCCTTTGGGGGGAATCTCGTAGCCCTTCTGGAACTTGGAGCCCATGGAAGCCAACCTCCTGTCCACATAGAACCAGTATCGCCCCTGGATGGAGGACCAGATGACACAGATGTGGTGGCCACTTGCCATCCAGGATCCGTCCCACCGGCAGCTCCCGAAAAGCAGGGTCGCCAATGACAAAGTGGATGGAGTTCCGGGGTGCAGCATCGCGGCCGTGGAGTACCAGCTTATTGTCATTATCCTCAGTGGCATAGGACAGGATGGTGCCCAGGTAGTTGGCACTGGTGCTCACCCAGCTGCAGAGGCTCAGTTCAAGCAGGCCAGCCTGGAAACCTGGCGTGAACGTGGCAAAGTTCTCTGTGGAAGCGTTAGGGAAAAACAGCATGGAATCCACGTTGCAGACTGTGGGGAAAGAGAGAGAAAGAGGCAATCAAGCCTACAAGTTTAACATGTGTCAAGTCTGGGAACTGCCCTGCCCGAGACCAATAGCACTGCTCATCTGAGATATAAAGACAAGGACCAACATTTCAATTATTTGTGAAATTTTATCAATATGTTGAAAAATTAGGCTTTGCGAGAGGCAGAAGAATGGCTCAGAGTGTAAGTACCGGTAAATTCATAAAAGTTATTTACATGGTTTAAAAATCAAAAGAATGGGAGCATTTCTTTTTTATGGACACTGAAAAAGCATTTGACCACATTAAATGGCCATTTTAAAAACAATATTGGAACTATGGGGATGTAGTCCAATAGTTAGACAAAGGGTAAGTATAGATTCTGCATACTCTCTCAGCTTATAACTCGGCCAATGGATGCTCATAAGAAAAATTTACCCTCTCTAGAGGTACATGTCATGAATGCCCTTTGTTGCCAGTATTATTTATATTATCTATGGATCATTGGTCTAAACCACTGAGCTTCGGGCTTGCCGATCAGAAGGTCGGCAGTTCGAATCTCCGCGACGGGGTGAGCTCCCGTTGCTCGGTCCTGCCAACCTAGCAGTTCGAAAGCACATCAAAGTGCAAGTAGATAAATAGGTACCACTCCGGTGGGAAGGTAAACGGTGTTTCCGTGCGCTGCTCTGGTTTCACCAGAAGCGGCTTAGTCATGCTGGCCACATGACCTGGAAAAACGGTCTGCAGACAAACATTGGCTCCCTCGGCCAGTAAAGCGAGATGAGTGCCGCAACCCCAGAGTCGTTCGCGACTGGACTTAACTGTCAGGGGTCCTTTACCTTTTTTTAAAAGCCATTAGCATGAAGTGGGCAGATGCCTGGATATGTCCGAAGGAATGCTTTAAATGTATGGTGGATGGGCCCCGAATTGTTCCCTCTCTGGGAAGATACTCCAGGAGAGAGGTTCCAAAGACCAAAGGTGATAAGGGAATAATTGAACTGTCGAGTTGGAAGAGACCATGAGGGTCATCTAATCCAACCCCCTGCAATGCAGGAATCTTTCGCCCAGCGTGGGGCTCAAACCCACGGCACTGAGGTTAAGAATCTCATGCTCTACTGACTGAGCCATCTCCCAAGTCTCCTTCAAGCTACCAATGGCTATCGACTATACAGCACTGCTGCTATTACCACCTCTGGCTAGCTTAGCAGGGCCATTCCGGCAGGATAAACCTGGTTCAGCTCATCTCCACGTACTTGTCCCTGGTTTCCGAGGCGCCTCTGACTGCGACTGCTCTTCAGGGGCCTTGTCTACGACAGCTTGCTGTTGCCTGAGCGCTTGTGGCTCCGGCGGATGAGGCTGTTCCGCTTCTGCCTCCTGCCGCTGGGGAGCTTCCTGACCCGGAGGGGGTCCGCTCTGCAGCCCTCTGGACTGGGCTGCAAGCCGCGTGCTCTCCTGGAGCAGTTTCTTCCTCTGGCGATGCTTCCCATGGAGCTTTTTCACGGTAGGGTTCTGCCCGCCGGCCGCCTCTGGTTCCTGCTCTTGGGGGACCCGGTTCAGCAGCTGAGCCGCAGTTAGGGGGTTCGGCAGAAGGACCTCATTGTGCGCGGGGTTCTTCAGCTGCTGCTCCAGCTCATCTAGCTTGCTCCCCTGGCTTTTGAGGGCATCCTGAAGACTCTCCAGGGCTTTCTGGAGGACCCTGTGGCCAGCGTGCACGGCCTGGGTGTCCTCTCGATGGCTCTCGACTTCTTGGGTTAAGTTGGCCAGGAGCGCTCGCTCCTGCTGCACCTCTGCCTCCTTCTCGCGGTCCCTCTCGCGCAAGGCTTCTTCCAGGGCCCCCAACTTCGAGTCTTGCTTCTTGCCCTTGTTCTGCAGCTTCTTCACCAGAGCTTTCAAGTGGCTCAGCTCCTCTTGCGTAGCTGCGTGGCTCTCGTTGGCAGCGGACTCCAGGCCCTGGTGCTTGCTCAGCAGCTGCTCAAACTTGGCGTCGATGTTGTAGGAGACATTGTAATTCCCAGCGATCTCCTGAAGGCGCGTCAGGGTGACCTCCTGGAACCGCCGGAACTGGAAAACAGTTAGGGTGAGGGGGGGAATGGAGAAAAACCCAGTGTCATGTACTGAGTTGAATAGGATCCAGAATGCAGCAGTCTGATTGGTCCTAGAACAATAGGGCCCAGAATGCAGCAGTCTGATTGGTCCTAGAACAATAGGGTCCAGAATGCAGCAGTCTGATTGGTCCTAGAACAATAGGGTCCAGAATGCAGCAGTCTGATTGGTCCTAGAACAATAGGACCCAGAATGCAGCAGTCTGATTGGTCCACAGGAGCCACCCAATCCAGCTCCAGGTAGAAGTGAATCCGCAACCTGACTGGCCTACAGGGGAATCCCGGAATTAGCCAATCACGTGGGGCCCATTGTGTAAATAATGTATATAAAGCAGACATTCTGGGGGAACTTCCATTCCTCCTCACCACTATGAGCTGAATAAAGAGCATGAAATCCACTCTCGACTCCGAGTATATTTCACCCAGTTAGGTTTCTGGAGGACTCCTAGAGAGGCTGAGGAATGTGAGGCACTCTACAGATCCAGACTTGCATCAGCAAAGGGTTGAGGGAAGGGGCAGAGAACGAAAGGTGGCCCTTAAGTACTTTCTATCTGGCCCCCAGCACTATCTCCAGATAGGAACAGGGGAGAAATTTGATGCAGCTTGCATTGAAAGGCAAGCCGACTTAATTTGCGATTTCGGAAGCAAGCTACAAGCCAAAACACAGCCCTCCTTCAGAATTCTCCCCATTTTGCAGTGCAGTTGTCCAGCCAAGTACAGTGGTACCTTGGGTTACAGATGCTTCAGGTTACAGACGCTTCAGGTTACAGACTCCGCTACCCAGAAATAGTGCTTCAGATTAAGAACTTTGCTTCAGGATGAGAACAGAAATCGTGCTCCGGCGGCGTGGCAGCAGCGGGAGGCCCCATTAGCTAAAGTGGTGCTTCAGGTTAAGAACAGTTTCAGGTTAAGAACGGACCTCCGGAACGAATTAAGTACTTAACCCGAGGTACCACTGTACAGGCCGCTCCCGGTTTAGGCGCGTCTGAACGATGCACAATTGCACACATGTGCATGGCGCCGAACATAGAAGTAGCTCCAAAATGTCATGAAAAGAGATGGAGCTGGACGGAGCAGACTTATTGAGGTCACTCCCAGTCTGATGCGCGCTTGTGAAATGGGTTGAGTGAGATCTTAGGATCTGGAGGCAGCGTTACATTTTCCCACTGGACTCCTTGGAGCCCATGAATTCACTCAACTCTATTTATATCTCTACAGTAAGGGCTGCCGTTATTTATAGTGTTAACTGGAAACCATTCACGAGTGACTTATACTCATTAACGGGCTTATTTTGCTATTTCTGATCCAAAATGCTTCACGTCATTATTTCCTAGCTGACAAGCTCCCTTGGGGAAGCATCTGTTCCTCAAAAGTTGTGAGTTCCTGATAGGCCAGGGATTGATATCCTGGTGCCCTGGAGGTGCGGCTGAGCTCTGACTCGCCATCAGCCTCTGGCCAGCATGACCAATGGTCAGGGACGATGGGAGTTGTAGTCCAGCAACATCTGGAGGGCCAAAGGTCCCCCAACCCTCTGGAAATCAATAGGTAAATGGTTATGGAGACTGTAATCGTCACAAGCTTGTGACACCCTTGGGTTAGGTCAATAACTCGGGCTAATGGTCTCCAGTGAGATGAACTTAAAATCATAGAATCGGGAGAGACCACGAGAGTCATCTAGCCCAACAACCTTGCATTGCAGGAATATTTTGCCTGACGTGGGGCTCAAATTCAAAACAACACCTCAGAACAGGGCTTTCTGGGGAAAGCAAGATGGTGGCCGCACACCTTCCAAGTGTCCTGGATTTTCCAGGGACAGGCTGGGAATTTTGAAAGCCTTCCTGGCTTCTGATTTGATCCCAGGATGTCCCGATTTCCCCCACCAAGCTCAGGAAGGAGGATGAGATGGCGTTTGTCCCAGGCGGCAGTAGCGGCTGCAGTGGCAGCGGCTGTGAGGTCTTATCCCATTGCCTCTCCATGGCCTCTGCTACTGGCCTCCTCCCTTGGGCAGCTCATAATGGCAACTCGAGAGCAGGCAAGGAGGAGAGGTTGATGCACCAGCTCTGGGGGGCAGGCAGAGGGGAGGGCCCTGGTCAGGAGGAAACACGGAGAGGAATGGAGCATAGGTGTTATGTACTGAAGTTCTCACCCTGGGCCAGCAGGGGGATGCTGTAGATAGTTTTCACTCAGGTCCACATCAGTTATTTTAGGCGGGAAACCCTGGGTTGTTGTTACTGCTACAATGTTGACAGCCGGCTGCCTATAAAAGCAGGCCGGCTGAGCTGTTTGCGGTTCAGTTTCTGTTCCAGCTTACAAAATAAAGAGCTGCTTTGGAGAAATCGCTGTGTCGTCTGCCATGTCTACCCACTATTCAACAATAAGGAATCTTGATTTATTTTTTTTAATGCTTTGTGCATCTGCGCAGGGCCAGCTTTAGGTTTGACTGTTGGCGGGGATGTGGCTGGCCACTGCAATAATCCCCTGCCTGCCCCCAAGAATTTCACCTTATCCATGAAATATTGCTGTGGGGAAAGCGAAGGGGGTGAAAAGGCAGCTCTTGTTCATTTGCTCCCATTCTAGTAAAAACAATAGCAATAGAAATATAATTCTGTTATTTGTACCCCACCTATCTGCCTGGGTTTCCCCAGCCACTCTGGGCAGCTTCCAACATGTATAAAAACATAATAAAACATTGCACATTAAAAGGCTTCCCTGTGAAATGCAGGCAGGCTGTCATAATAATAATAATAATAATAATAATAATAATAATAATAATAGATGCTTTTTTCTGGGGGTACACAGGAGTATGCATACCCCTAAACATTTTGTGAACTTTTGTGTACTTTTGTCCATTTACTGTATTTATTTCCCCCGATTTGAACTATAAAATGGTGGTTTTCTTGAGTCAAAATGAGAGTACCCCTAAACATTTCTTAAGAAAAAAAGCACTGATAATAATAATGATGATGATGATAATTTGTAACCCACCCATCTGACTGAGTTGCCCCAGCTACTCTAGGCCATCCACTTAAGCACTTAGCTTCCCCCCAGAAAATTCCGGGAACTGCAGTTTACTCCCTCACAAAGCTACAATTCCCAGCACCTCTGACAAACTAAAGTTCCCCCAGATTCTTTATGGGAAACTGTGTGCGTCAATGAATGGCGTGTACGCTGCCTCAGTTTATTATGAATATTAATAAAGCACTATCTAACACACGCTTGTGGATGCTGGCAAGAGGTTATGGGCTAATCCTAGCAGGGCTGCCAAAGGCTGGATAGATATCACAACAGCAGCTACTCCCACTAACTTTTAAAGGGAAACATGACCCCCACGCCTAATGAATCATGGCGACTGGAGCGGCACCCAGACTTCTTTGCCGCCAGCTGCTGATTCCACTATTTTTGGCGGGTGCATTCTCTTGAGCATCACAGAGGATTGCAAACAGATGTCTCCTGCTTCGACCACAGCAGCGAGTTATCGCTATTATCTCAGTAGCGCCAGAGGGCCTGCAAGGATGGGTGTTTGCCCTATCTGAAGATAGAACAGCAGCTCCCTCCCAACAACCCACAACACTCCCTTTCATTTCTCTAAATTGGGACTCTTCCCTGCTAGTCCTGGAAAGGGTGCCTCTCAAGAATCAATTGCTTTATTTATCAGCGCCTGTTATAGCTGGTTGCTGGGCAGACAACTCATGCCACAACACCCACTGCCTCTCCCCATTTGGACTCCTGGCCTTGTTTTTACTTGTACAGTGGACGCTCGGGTTACGAATGTGATCCATGCGGGATGCACGTTCGCAACCCACAGCGTTCGCAACCCGCGTCTGCGTGCCTGTGGCTTGCGATTTGGCGTTTCTGCACATGCACAAAGCGTGATTTAGCGTTTTTGCACATGCGCAACCGCGGAAACCCGGAAGTAACCCAACCTGAAGTGTCTGTAACCCGAGGTATGACTGTACTGGTGCTATTCAGCAAGCTCTCTTTCCCCTGTGAACCATAACGGTTTTCATTTCATCTCGGTTCAAATGGATCCATTGGTTTTGTGATACAGTGGTACCTTAGTTCTAGAACTTAATCCATTCTGGGAATCCATTCGGCTCCTGAAACCGTTCAAAAGGCAAGGTGCGGTTTCCGATTGGCTGCAGGAGCTTCCTGCACTCAATTGGAAGCAACGTCGGACGTTCGGCTTTCGAAAAACATTCGCAAACTGGAACACTTACTTCTGGGTTTGTGGCATCTGGGAGCTGATTTGTCTGACAACTAAGGCATTCGGAAACCAAGGTATCACTGTACAGTCATACCTTGGGTTACAGACACTTCAGGTTGTGTTTTTTTAGGTTACTGATGCGCCGAAACCTGGAAGTACCGGAACGGGTTACTTCTGGGTTTCGGAGGGAGTTCGTTCCTGATATTGAGTCGGAATCTCCTTTCTTGTAACTTGAAGCCACTGGTTCAAGTCCTACCTGCCAGGGCAGGAGAAAACAAGCTTGCTCCATCTTCCACGTGACGGCCCCTGAGATATTTGAAGACGGTTGTCATATCTCCTCTCAGTCTCCTCTTTTTCAGGCTAAACATATCCTTTTCTCGTTTGAGGCAGATCCACACCATACTTTTAAAGCATATCCAACACACTTTTAAAGCACATAGCTCCCCACCCCCAGGATCTTGGGAACTGTAGTTTGTTAATAGTGCTGGGAATTATAGCTCTGTGAGAGGGATACTATAGCTCCTGGGATTGTTGAAAGGGAGGTCATGTGCATTAAATGTATTTGGTATGGTTCTTTAGTAGCTTGCAAGCAGCATTCTGAGCAGGGATGAGTGAATCTGCCAGTTCTGTTTTCTCATCTTCCCAGTTTGAAGTAAAGCTCTTCACATATAACAAAGATTGCAAGTCCTAATGAAAATTCATCCGGATTTTATTCCTAATAGACACATTTTTGCCTGCAGCTTTGTCCAATATGCACATCTTTGCAAAGCAATAATGTATCTTTAATGCATTTAATTTTCACTAACAAGTGTCTTTAGTATACATTATACATATGCATTTTTGGACACATTAATTGGCTGGAGAAGTAAAATGCAAAATTTGAAGAATTTCAAAGTATGGCTGTGTGATTTCAGGGAATTAGGTAAGGTCACATTTAATTAATGCAAGCTGAATTGAATTCTCCCTCAAGGACTACTACTTTTTCTTATCAGCATGGGCATGTACATAATAGTGCAGTTGTTCTGTTAACTCCAGTAGGTCAGTTGGACATAACAGGTTTTGTTATTTATTTATGTGATACATCATATTGCAAATGAAACAAAATGGCAGCTGGACAAAGGGGGGTGTCAATGGCAGAGTTCATATGATAAGCTCACATAGTGCATTCATATCTCAGAAGCGACACCTTATGCTTTGCATAAATCCTGCACTGTTATTTTCTTAGGTGGTTATTGTTTTAGATCTTCTTTTAAATACAAACTGCCTGGTGTTGCCTGCTGAAGGGCACTGGAGAAACCCAAACAAATATTAGCTAGAAATCTAACTACAAAGTCCTGTGTACGATCGGCTCTCTTGAGAAATTAACAGGTTAAAAAGGCTGAGCCCAACAAGAAGTCATTCTGGGAATATCAAGGCAGAACAAAAGAGCACCTCAAAGATAACCTGGATATTTTATTAGAGCAATATCTACTAGCGCCAGGAATAGTGCTAAGTTCAAATCAAAGGTATAAAATGTGAAAAAAATAATTTCCAGCCTTTGATGAAGAACAAAGACCCTGGTAGCTTGTTTTTATTCTGTGCAACCCGCACAGAACTTACTGTTCTGTTCTGGCTGGAATGATTTCACTAGTTGTTGTATTTTATAACTGTAATTGTTTTATCTGTTTTCATAACTGTATATTATTTTGTTGTCTCCTGCTCTGGGAACTTACTGTGAAGGGCTGGTAAGAAACCTAGCATCTTAATTTTGAAAAACAAACAAACTTTGTATGGAAAAATACTCGATACACAACCCACATGTCCAAAAGGCATGAATACCAATTATTAAGAAGCTGGTTTTTCAAAACGTTGTGCAATTCAACCATTTTAGTATTACCGAGCTAAAATAAATGTTATGGCGAGATGGGAATAAGGGTAACAAAACCTTGTACATAAAAAAGGGGAAAACTCTCGTGGTTTAATTTGAAGTCTGGAACAAATTAAATATTTGTGGAATTTTGAATGATCAGATTTGGATTTTAGTTTTCGAATGAGTTTAACAGGTTGCATCCACCCCAGATTAGACTGTCAGCAAATTCCAGAGTCCAGAATCAAGAACATTATTTGGTGAATTTATGATAATGACAATCCATGCCAGGCTCACCTGCTCTTCCAGTCGTCTAAACCTTTCGAAGAATAGCTTCCTTCGCTCCGCTGTCCCAGGCTGCTGGACCAAGGTGCCCTGAAGACAGACAGCGGCAAGGATGATGAAGACGGACAACATTTTCCGTGTTCCCAGCATCCCAAGAGCCGCACACATCTTTGGGGTGATGCTCTAGGTGGGAACACAGAAGACAGGGTTCAGCGTCTGTAGAAGAGTCCCCCTCTTAACACTACACTATTCAGAAAGCGACTGCTGAGATCCCTTCCTTTGCTTCTAGAAGCCCAAGGTCCTCCCACCAAGCTAAAAAGAGACCCTAGTTTGTTCTCAGAATAGATGAGTTCCACAGACTTCTCTGGCATTCCCAAGAAGCCAAGTTTAGTCTCAGAGCTTGGCAGCCGCGTGGAGACATTGCCTGGGGGAGGGAGAACCTGGCTTGGTTTTTGGAGTTCCTTCCAGGACCTGGAAATCAGGAGAAGGCTGGTCATTAAGTTGGCTGCTTATTTCATTCATATGTTGTTTAGTCGTGTCCGACTCTTCGTGACCCCATGGACCAGAGCACACCAGGCACTCCTGTCTTCCACTGCCGCCCACAGTTTGGTCAAACTAATGTTAGTAGCTTTGAGAACATTGTCCAACCATCTCGTCCTTTGTCATCCCTTTCTCCTTGTGCCCTCAGTCTTTATACAGTGGTGCCTCGCAAGACAAAATTAATCCGTTCCGCGAGTCTCTTCGTCTTGCGGTTTTTTCGTCTTGCGAAGCACGGCTATTAGCGGCTTAGCGGCTATTAGCGGCTTAGTGGCTATTAACGGCTTAGCGGCTTTAAGAAAAAGGAAACAAACTCGCAAGAACTCGCAAGATGTTTCGTCTTGCGAAGCAAGCCCCTAGGGAAATTCGTCTTGCGGAACGACTCAAAAAACAGAAAACCCTTTCGTCTAGCGAGTTTTTCGTCTTGCGAGGCATTCGTCTTGCAGGGCACCACTGTATTCTCTCTCTCTCTCTCTCTCTCTCTCACACACACACACACACACACACACAGTCATACCTGGGGTTACAGACGCTTCAGGTTGCGTTTTTTGGGATACAGACCGCCGAAACCCGGAAGTACTGGAATGGGTTACTTCTGGGTTTCGGCAGTCGCGCATGTGCAGAAGCACTAAATCACGCTTTGCGCATGCGCAGAAGACCAAATTGCAACCCACGTGTGCACAGACACGCCACTGCGGGTTGCGGACGCTGTGGGTTGCGAACGTGCATCCCACACAGATCATGTTCGCAACCCGAGCATCCACTGTATATATATTACCAACTTTTTCTGAAGTAAAACAAGGACATGTGTCTTCCGGGGTGGGCTCCTGGGTGGGTCATGTGACCTGCACCTTGCTCTCCCCTTTTCTCAGGGAAAGATCTTACACAGCACCCAGAAACATAGACTTTGGGGGGGGGGCTGTGTGATATTGCAACCCCGCCCTGGGAGTTTTTTCAGGGCGATTGCACAGTGTGAGAGCACAGCGCCCAAAATGGCCACCGAGATCTTGTGCGGGGGGAAATGGGATGTCCTGTTTGTTCCTGGACACCTGGAAGGTATGCATTTACAGTGGCACCTTGGTTCCCGAAAGGCCTGGCTCCTGGACAAATTGGCTCCCGAACACTGCAAACCCAGAAGTAAGTGTTTTGGTTTGAGAACTTTTTTGGAAGCTGAACATCTGACATGGCTTCCGCTTGAGTGCAGGAAGCTCTTGCAGCCAATCGGAAGCCGCGCCTTGGTTTTTGAACGGTTCTGGGAGTCGTAAGTTTGACAACCAAGGTACCACTGCATTCAGTAAATTCAGAGTGTGCCAATAAGGCTGATTCGGAGCTCTTGCAAAACTAACTCCTCTCACCCCCCCCCCTGAAGTGGATTTCCCCCACTCAGGAAAGTTGACAGGACAATTCGCCGGAAAGTGTGGGATAACAGCTGCTTGATGCAGCAGCATCATCTAATCTCCCCACAAACAAATCAGGCTGAATACTCATTAAACAGGTCATCTGGAAGAAACGCTTGCCTTTCCAAAGAGGCAAATGCCACCGTCTAATCCAGGGGAGGGGACCTCAGGTCTGGGGACTAAATGTGGCTCATTAAGGCTTCCCATACAGCCTTTGGGACTCTCCACAGGCCCCGCTCCACAGCTTCCTCCAGCTTGCCTCTTTTGGCCTTGCTGGAATGTGTCCTTGAACTGGATGGAAAAGTGGAGGTGAAGAAAACTTCCGATTTTTGTTGTTTGGACTCTACGGCTGAAGGGCTGATCATATAGCCTCCTGTACAAAGATAACAGTCACGGGAGGCGGCGCGAAACGGCAATGGCGGTCCTCTTCAGCTGCTGAAGAGGGGCTCCGCGGAAAAGGGTCGTGCGCTGCGGCCACAGCGACGACCCATCCAGAAAAACCACGGGTAGAGTGAGCCCGTGGCCGTGGGATTCGGCGGGCACCAGGAGCGACCTCGGAAACGTAGAAGGGACCCCGTAAGGGGCTCCGGAACGTGGAGGGGTAGCGGTGCTGTGAATCCATCGCTCTTTCCGCGGAAGTGAAGCCGCGCGGCTGCTGCTGATGAGCGCTGACCTTTCTTCTTTGAACATTTGATTTGAAACAACTTACTCGTGAGTAAGAAATTTGAGACTCTATTTGAACAGTAATTTGTGAATTTCGGCTGAAAGCGGGAGACGCTAAAAAGGAAGTCAGTCTTCCGTCTCTGTTTAAAGTACTGAGCAAAGTCTTTCTAAAGCGGAAGCGTTGAAAGGTGTTCAAAAGAAGTTGGAATTTACCCTGCAAATTCGGACTTGATTGATTAAAAGTTAAGGAAAAGTTAAAAC